TAACAGCTTCGCTGGGGCTTTACCGGGTCATTGGGTAAGTGTTTAAAACACCTGTCGTGGCATGCATGAAGACTAGGGTGAGACAAGATAGCTAGTATTGGGTAGGAGGCAGTTAGCTAGGGGACAGGTATTCCAGAGTGAAACAAAAAAAAGATATATATATTTTTAGTTGTCTGTGCACCAGGTTCAAGGGAGTTTGCATAATCATGGCTACATTGACAGATTTTGTTAAGTGTCCCAGTGTGGAACTGCTGGAAAAATGTACTAACGACCAACTGTTAAAAATTGCAGAGCATTTTGAAGTAGACGTTCCAAAGCAGGGTCGTAAAGACACCATAGTGACTATGTTACAGGCCCAGTTGGCACTGCAAGAAGTTCTGCCAACAGTGGCTGTCGATGATGGTTCCGAGGAGGAGTTGGCTGAGAAGGCCGCTATAAATCCAGAGCGGCAGAGAAGTGCAGGTTTTTCTTTGTTTGACTTTGGTGAATTGACATTTGAACAGAGAAAGGAAATAATGCTGCTGCAGTACCAACAAGACAGTGAACGTGAGGAACGAGCAAGTGCTCGTGAGGACCGGGCTAGAGCTCGTGAACAGGAAACTGAGATGGAGCGTTTAAGGTTAACTACAGTGGTGCGGGAAGCTGAATTGCAACAAGAGCGTTACAACTTGGACCTCATCCAAGAGGGTAAGCTTTCTTCTGGGGTGTCCCCAGCTACTTTTGATGTAGCTTATAACTTGAGGTTGTTACCGAAATTTGAGGAGAAGACTGTAGATTCGTTTTTTTGACTTTTTGAGCGACTTAGCCAAAGACGACAGTGGTCTGATTCGGAGAAAACATTGCTGTTACAGTGTGTGTTAACTGGTAGGGCTCAAGAAGCATTTTCTGCATTAAGTATGGCTGACAGTGAAGATTACTTAAGGGTAAAGACTGCAGTGCTAAAAGCTTATGAGTTGGTGCCTGAGGCCTACCGTCAGCAGTTCAGGAAGCTAAGGAAGTCAGAAGGACAGACCTATGTGGAACTTGTTCGGGAGCTGACGATGAAATTTAATCGATGGGTCACGGCTTCCGAAGTAGTACATCTTAATGATTTGAGGGAACTGTTCCTTTTTGAACAATTCAAAGATATCCCTCCAGAACGCGTTACTACGTACCTCAATGAGAATAAGGTTAAAAATGTAACAGACGCTGGGGTGTTAGCTGCTGAATACACTTTAACACACAAGATTCATTCAGGGGAGAGATTTGACTGGGGGAACAGAAATAACTGGTCTGGTGACCCCAGAGGTAAAGTGGGTGAAGTGTTAAGGTCGGAGCAAAGGTCCGTGCATGGCTGGAGGGATAAAGTAGATCTAAATACTTGCAACTTTGGTTTGGGTAATGGTCACTGGAGAAATGAATGGCCGGAACTTAATGTAAAAACCAAGGGACTCCAAAATGGCCAGGTTCCCAGGCCTGTTGCCCTGGCAGCTCCTGCCCACCAAGGTTGCTAGGGAGGAGGCTATAGCTGCGGTTAAACTCCATACTGCCCACAAGTTGCTATGAGGCTAGGCTATAGCTGCGGTTAAACTCCATACCACCCCGCCACCAGTTGCTGCTGCGGGTTTCTAACTTGGGACTAGCCCTGCAGTAGGAGAAGACTCGCCCCTCCCTGGCAGCAGAGAGAATTTGATCCAGGTTATGCCCCTTTCATACGTCAAGGTTATGTGTCTTTGCAAGGAAGTGGCAAGAAACTCCTTGTTAAGATACTGAGAGACACGGGTGTGCTTTGGATTCCGTAACATAAGTGAGGGTGTTCTTCCATTTTCCTCGGAAACTGGACACTTGGAAGTTGTGTATTGTCTAGGGCAATGGGGATGCATTGCTGTTTCGCTACCAAAGCATCGGCTACTTTGGTGTGTTGTCCTGTGATTTGGGGTAAGGGCGAGGTACCCATGGGAGTCCGGTTTGGTCTTGCCGTTCCAGGAGTGTCAGTCATCCCTGGAAAATGAGTATGCTGGAGTGCAAGACTGTGACCCGATGGCTGCACCTTCACCAGCTGGTACCTCAAACGCCAGTGCGTGACTGAGAACTTGCTGACACCTTGAGAAAAAGCTGACAAAGGAATATACGCTGCACATTTAAGACACATGCAATTCACCTTGTGCAGTAACACGAGCCCAGGCTTATAAAAGAGCAAGGCCCAAAAGCAATATCTGGGGAATGCCTGTTTTTCGCTGCCTGTTGTTCCATTGTCTGTTCCTCGTAGTGAGTTGGTGAAGCTCTGTCCCAGGTTCGCACGCCGGAGGAACGCACCAATCCACAACCAGCGGTTATACGAGATGGTCCCTGTTTCTACAGCCTTCCAGTTGACATCCGACATCTCAAGAGGTTTCCCCAACAATGTGCATCAGACTGAGCCTTTCGTCCGAGAGCCAGTACCTTAAGGAGGAGCTTTAATCCTCGTTCACTTCTGTTTTTCCAGGTATACTGCTCTTGTAGTCTGCTTCCCAGGCTGCCAGGGTTGCTGAACGCTAGGAAGGTGAGCAGTGGTAAAATGTACGAAATCATGTACAACTGACTCCTGTTATTGGGTAGGCTGCTTTCAGTGTCTCCTTGGACACTTCTTTTATGGAAGGGAGCGGTGACAACCCTGTGGTAGTCCATCCGGTGGGGCGCTTGGTAACCCGTGATCTCGTTCTTCGGTAATCAGCAGTGATGGACTTCACCTGGTGCACTTGATCCAGGAACGAACAATGGGCGCGGCAGAACAGAGCTTGCTTCGCTCTCTCTCAAGCCTGCCCTGCTCGTGCAGCAGACACGCTCTCCATTCTGCATCTGCTCTATTGTTTGGATGAAGACACTGGTTAGTTAAACAAAGACTTGGTTGAGGCAATCTTCCCTGTGTGGAACAGTGCCATATGTTACAACAGAGCCCAGCTTGTAACATATGATATGGTGAAATTTGTAGTCGTCCAAAATGCGAGTATAAAAGACACTGCGGCACAGAAGCGATTGCACAGTACTGTGGAAAAAGCAATGAAATGGGCGACAGAGAGCCTTGGATCAACATTGAAGGGCATGTTCTGACACACATCGACAGGGAGAAGGTCGCTTCGACCTTCCAACCTGCAGATCTTTCAAAATAACATACTGCATGATTCCACAGGAGCGCGCAACAACACCACAATTATCGAGTTTAAAGTACTAGTGCCACCACTCCTGTGGTCATCCATAATCCAGTTTTTTGGAGACCTGCATCAGAGATGTGAATTTAGCAAGAATAAAAACATAACGGCCAAAGGCAGATGTACGCAATTGAGACTTCAAGCATGAGCCGAAGACACCGTACAGCTACCCATAATACCCAGCTATCGGTTTAGGACTACAGTCCCCAGTGATTAAATCTTCAAGCCTGGAATTGGATGTTGGAATGGCAGTGCGCCAAGGTTACGCCGAGCGTCAAACAGCTGTTTGAAATGGAACGAAACCACGCCAGACTATCCAAAACTGGAATCGAAGCCCCCCCCAGTGGACTAGCACATGCTATGGGACCGTCTTCTACTGACAACGTATTTCGTTTTTCCCACAATTAGAAGTTGCCAGATTAAGACACATTGGTTTATCAAATGTAAAACATATAATTAATGAACATGGGTGAAAATGCCTTGTGTCCATAACTGCGCAGCATTAAAGTACCCACATGACAGCTCATTGGTACTTTGTAATCTACTCCACTACAATTCAGGAGGTTAACCCTGGTATTTTACTCCACTGAACATTTATTGAGTTCTTTGCAGATTCTGATAACATGATGTGAAATATAAAGCAACCCTTAAAAAAGCAGACCTTTAGTTACTACCTGAGTAGAAATTCAGGAAAGGTGATTGTCAAGTGCCTCAAAAATCAGGAAGAGATTGACTAGTTGGGCTTGAGAAGATAAACATTGTTATCCTGCAATTGACATGAATGGAAGACGAGGTAATCCTGAATATAACTTTTATAACTCGTTTTCCATTCATGTCCAATTGCAGATAAATATTTNCGGCGCTGTAAAAAGCAAGTCCAATCATCTGAGCCGGCCCGGGTCAGATAATTGGATGGCCTACCTGCCTGTCAGCCTTCCATCTCATGCACAAACTTATCTCGATAAGTTTGTGCATGAGATGGAAGGCTGACAGGCAGGTAGGCCATCCAATTATCTGACCCGGGCCGGCTCAGATGATTGGACTTGCTTTTTACAGCGCCGTGGCTTCCGCAGATGAAATATTTGTATATGTTTATTTTCAAAGCATTTAATGTATTCATTGCTATTGGGATGTTAAGAGCATTCCATGGAATATAACAAGTGTTTCTGAAGTGAATTACCTACCTTACCTTTAATGAAGAATACAGGATCTTCAAAAAGACTGGAGATTAACTTGACATATGCCCCAAGTGGATAGTAAGAGCAACTCTGTGCACCTTTTTTAAGGATGTCACAATTCTAAAACCAACCAAAACTCAAAGAGTAATAAGTCGTGGGCAGTTTGTCAACGTCTCCGGTCTCACCTCCTGCCAAGAGATATATTTTGTTATATCATCCATAGTGCTATAAAACGTGACTCTCACACAGGTTAAAGTGACTATGGCTATGTAGTCCCCCCGAACTACTGCGGTTTCCCTATAGCGCACACAGACAATGCTGCTGCTTCCATCCCTCAATAAATAATTTAACGACTGTTTTGCAGCTAACTGCAAATGCAACAGTCAAGATGCCCAATCTCCACTACTCATGGTCCGCATGTATCTTTTTTGTACAGCAGCCTTTTTTGTACAGCAGTATGCTCCTACAAAGAGTGTATGCTGCAAGCCACAGCCAAACCATGCCTGACTTTTCACAGCGATGGTGTCTGCTGCACAACATTTTTCCTGAATTAGTTCTTAATGTTGGTTGAGATTTAAATGCCGTCTATGGTTATGATTTGTTTATTGAAATATTTTAATGTAGTGCAATGTTAATTCCCAGTCCGACTCATCTATTGCAGTAGCCCACTGTGGCTCAGTGGGCTACTGCGTTGATCTTCAGATCAGAGGAGCACTGGTTTGAGTCCCACTGCAGTCTGCATGTCATTGTGTCCTTGGACAAGACACTTCAGCCCAGATTGCTCATGTGGGGATTGTCCACTATACTTAATGTATATAAGTCGCTTTGGATAAAAGTGTCTACCAAATGACATGTGATGGAATATTATACATCTCATTCTATTTTGTTAATCTTGATGATGCTCTCCTGTTAGGATTAAAGGTGTCAGTCCAAAGGTGATGAAGATGGTTCACATGTTGAGGCTGAGGAAGATCTTCAGCGGGACCTTTGTCAAAATCAACAAGACCTCAGTAGCAATGATGAAGATGCTGGAGCCTTATGTGGCCTGGGGGTGAGTGATAAGTGACTGAAATGTTAAGCGTAGTTTTCTTTTGTTTTGCTTATAATAAACCTATGTAATTTTTCCAACAGATTTCCCAACTTGAAGTCTGTTCGTGAGCTCGTCCTGAAGAGAGGACAGACTAGGGTTGGCCGGAGGAGAGTTCCTCTCACAGACAACACCTTCATTGAGCAGCACATGGGTGAGTTTCTTCCTCAGCCACATGATGATGGCAGGCTCACCACCAGCACACGCATCAGCAGGGCTCAACGCTAACTTTTTAAAGTGGTTGCCAGGCTGGCAACCAGGCATCAGCTTTTGGTTGCCAAAACTGAAAATACAGTTGCCATTTTTAGTCACCTTATATTTTAAATAATTAAGATACTATACAGTTATACATCAACTTAATAATGAACAATGTGACACAAAAGAATGTTCAAATGCTTTACAATAAGTAATTAACACAATTATTTGAAACTAAAGTGGTAGTAAACTTGTCCACCCTCAATTGCTGGTATACAAAATACCAGTAGTGCAGCTGTTATCATGTTCTTCACAGATCCCTCACAAATGAATTGAGCAAGTCACTAGTTTTGTCATCCGTTGTTTCCCTTTTCAAATGTGGGTTCTCTTGACCTTTGTGCTGACCCCCACCATAGACCCATTGGCCCTTCAGCATTGAAGTCTTGGATTGGCCAGACTAATACATTTCTAATGTTAAATAAATGAAAAGCATTCACAGACAAGAATTAGATATTAATGATTAATGCTGTAAATTACCTTTTAATATGTCTTAACTATATTTAAAATGTGTTACCTTTTTATATAAGTGATTATATTTGTATGCTACGGAGCCCCTAAAGCAGGGGTGGGGAACCTTTTTCCTCTCAAGGGCCATTTCAATTTTTTCAACATCCTCCGAGGGCCGTACAAATTATTTACCGCTGCTTAAAAATACTAAAATCACAGCCCATTCATTTGGCCTTTCTTTCATGCTGTGCAAAGAGAAAGCAACCTCTTAATCCAGATATCTTGCCATGACTCGCGTATGCGTGCACGGTTGTGGCATGACCACCAAAACAGAAATATATGGACAACGGCGACACAG